GGGGATTTCCCTCATTTTCCACTTGGCAGCATAGATTAATCTTGCAGCGGATGTAAGATTGAAGATAACTTTCCCAGCCTTTTTTTTTCCATATCCGTATCTTCAATCATACCCAATAAAAACATCTGTGGGTCTTTTTTAAACTTGATTTTCAATATTTCCTCCCTCTTTTGTTTTATTTTCTCCCAAAACTCTTTAGCTTTTTCACAGGTCCACCATAAGTGACAGAGCGAACCTTTTTTCTTCTCACAGTGGTAGTCCTGAGTGTTTTTCATTTTAGCCAATTTGTATGGTGACAAATGCCACCTATATTGCATTTTATAAAAATTTTCTTTAATATTACTGCTCAAGGTAAATTTTAATCTTTTACACCAACACTTCTCCCACTGTTCTAATCTAATCTTATGACCAAAGTCCTGGGCCCATTTTACCATCTTAAACATCTGCATTGTGCTTCTTAAGTCATGCTCAAAATGGAGGACATTGGGGGATTCCTCCTCCTGGACAGACGGTTAAAATGTAGGACGTGTCCGGAAAAGGAGGACGCCTGGTTAGTCTGTATTCTTTACCGCAGCAGGCGCCACCATTGATGCAACAACGGCTGCATTTCTCGCGCATGCGCACAGCAGCACCTTTACCACCGCTCGGTACCGCCTGTTAATAAAACGGGGAGGAGAGTAGTGCTACGTCACAGCGCGTTGAGTGCTACAGCTCCGCGCAAGCGCATTGAAAAGGAGGGTTTGTTTTGTTTTCATCCCCCTCAAAGCGGATGTTTTCTCTGTGGTCTAACATAAAGGAGGTCGGCCTATGGATCTGATTGGTTGTTGCGGTGAGACGCGGCGTCTGATTGATTGCTGTGGTGGAACGCGTCATCTGAATGGCTGTGGCGGTGAAACGCGTCGTCTGATTGGTTGCTGCGGTGGGACGCAGCGTGGAGGTTCGGCGGAGAGGCAACCAATAGGAAGTTCCAAAGGGAAGGGACGCGAGGGTTGCCGGGTTGCAGGGAGCCGCTGCCGCCATTTTGTGGGGGAGGAGGAGGAGGAGGCTTGAAACCGGGCAGCCGTCGCCTCTGCCTCCTCCTCTTCTCTCCTCTCTCAGGCGGCGAGATGTTGCGGCTCCGCTGTAAGGCCCGGAGCGGCACCTACCCTCTGCCGGGCCTTACGGCGCACTCTCGTCTGCGGGAGCTCCAGGCCGCCATCGCTGCCCTCGCCGGGGTTCCAGTCCAGGCCCAGCGCCTGCTGCTCGGCTTCCCTCCGCGCGTCATCGACCTCGGCGACGGGGAGCAGCGCCTCGGAGAGCTGGGTATCCACTCCGGTAAGAGGCGGCGGCGGCGGGCCTGGGATGGACAGGTCTCTCCGCACTGCACAGCAATCGCACTTCGATACCGATTTAAGCCGTCACAGCTCTATCGTGTTAAAAACCCAGGATTTGTAGATTGGTGAAAGACCTTGTTTTCTCTCTCTCTCCCCCCCCCCAAGCTAGGGTGACCAGATGTCCTCACGCAAAGGAGGACGAGGGAGGACCGTAAAATGGAGGCCATTCCAAGAAAAAAATGTAGGGCGTTACCAAATTGAAAGCTAGGAACACAGATGTGAATATAACTTAATGCTTCTTAATCATGTTCAAAATGGGGGACGTTTTGGAATTCCTCCTGAATAGAAAAGACTGACAATGTAGGACATCTCCCGGAAAAGGAGGACGACTGGTCAGCCTGTCCAAAAACATGACCAAATAAAAGCAAAATGCACCCGTACATCTAAATTCGTGCTGCTTAGTCATGCTCAAAATGGAGGAAATTTTGGAATTCCTCCTGGACATAAAACACTAAAAATGTAGGACGTGTCCTGGAAAAGGAGGACGTCTGGTCACCCTGTCGAAGAAAAATGTAAGACAGGATTAAATGAAAGCTAAAAGCACTCACCTAAATGTAAATTCGTGCTGCTTAGTCATGCTCAGAATGGAGAATATTTTGGAATTCCTCCTGGACAGAAAGGGCAGACATTTATTTATTTTAATCCCTCCTTCCTCTCAAAAAGGGACCCAAGGTGGCTCTCAGCATAAAAACACATAAAAACCAATGTAGGAAATGTAGGGTAGGTCCTGGAAAAAGTAGGGCATTTTGTCCTTCTGCATGCAACTATAGTGAAAGGGCTCTCTAGTAGAGAATTGTAAACAACACAAGACTACAAATCCCAGGATTCCCTTGTAGGGCATTATGACAGCTAAATTGGTATCCAAATGCTACAATATATATACCTGTTGTTGATCAAGATTGGAATAAATTAGTCTTCCTTTACAAGCATTCAGTGATTCCTCCCAACTTGAGTAGACCCACTGAAACAATAAGACTTGCTAAGCCAGAGCTTCTGTAAATCTCATTGATTCAGTGGGACTACATTGAATCTGTGGGATTTACAGAAGCCTTAAAAACTCTTCCTGCTTCAGTGGGGCTGCTTTAGAGAGCCAGCAATGCAATCTGGGTAAGATGGACAATTACAGGCCAACATACTTATGGTGGCCCTAGTGTGGTGGTTTGAGTGTCAGACTACGACTCTGGAGACCAGGGTTCAATTCTCCGCTTGGCCATGAAACCCACAGGGTGACCTTGGGCAAGTCACACTCTCTCATCCTCAGGAGAAGGCAATGCCAAACCTTATCTGGACAAATCTTGCCGAGAAAACTCTATTTTTGCCTTAGGATCGCCATTAGTCAGAAGCGACTTGAAGGCACACAGCAACAACAAGCTGGATTTAGTATTTTGTATGGATGACATTTATTAACTTAGAGGAAGTATCTTCCCAGTGTTTTGCTTTTCATTGTGGATCGAAATTGATGATCCTGGGAAGCTGCTAGAGTAGAAACTGGTCAGGTGTCGAACTTACTGAGACATTTGTTTGTTTCTTTGCTTTGCTGTAACTGTACTGTTAGGACACTGGGGCCATGTGTAAAAGCAGTATACACAGAATTATACAACAGGGTGCTTTTGAACGCATTTTGAGCCTAACAATATTTTTCTTGCTATCAATTTCAAATAGTTTGAAATTCTGTTGGACTGCAGAGTCAATGCAGTTTGACACCACTTTAACTGCCATAACTCAATCCTGTGGAATCCTGGGGTTTGTAGTTTGGCGAGGCATCAGAGCTCTCCGAGGGACAGGCTGAATACTTCACCAAACTACACATCCTAGAATTCTACAGGACTGAGCCATGGCAGATAAAAGTGGTGCCAAACTGCTTTAAATTTGCATTGTTGATGCATCCTAGGACACTTGGGAGACCAGGATTCAAATCTCTGCTTGGCCATGGAAACCTGCTGGGTGACCTTAGGCAAGTCACACTATCTCAGCCTCAGAGGAGAGCAAGGGCAAGGCCTCTGAACAAATTCTATCAAGGAAACCGCATGATAGATTTGAGTTACAGGTCATCATAAATCATAAATGACTAATAAAATTTATATTAAAAAAAAATAAATAAATCATAAATGACTTGAAACCACACAACAACAGATTTTAAATGGAGTGCAGGTCTTCTATAAGTTTCTCCTGATTATTCCAAACCTTTTCCCCATTTCAAAATCAATCAATGAATAGTAAAGATTCAATTTATTGTTGTTGCTCTTAAACATTTGGGTCCTAGAACTCTTGCCAACTTTTTTGTAAATTATCTGGATATCTAATACTGATCTCCCTTAATATCAGCTCCTGTTTTAGAATTGTACTTCCTATAATCTTAAATAAGAAGATTCATCTTGTAGATGGGAAATAGTGGGTGTCCCTCTTGAGAACAGGAAGTCTTCAAGCAGTGACACATGTGTTTTGATACATTATAATTGCATAAAATAAGCAGAATGCTTGTTACCACCCATTAATTACATTTCAGAGTCTTATTATCTACGTGCGTCAAAACATGTCAACCTATCTGTAACACAAGGTGAATGGTGTAGTTTCTGGTCTATATGCTTATTGTCTTGGAGTTTTTAAAACAAAAAAAAAATGATATGTTAACATGAGGACTGTTGTGATCTGAAATTTAATTTGATGATTTCTAAAATGCAATAATGTGTTTTGTACTGATATCTGTTGAGTTCAGTAGAAAACGTGGAGGAGTTATTGTCCTTTAAAAACTTATTTCTGGATTCTATAGTGAAATATCACATCTTCTGTCTTTAGCCATAGTTAAATCTAAATAGCATCTCTATACTCACAAATTGTTAGAATTTGCATGCATCTTAGTAATGGGAGTATGTGCAAGGCCTTGTTACACTTCTGAGAAGAGGGTTTTCTAAGAGACAGGTTCATGGTTAAACTGAGACTCACCAGCAACTTTTGTCTTGTATTCTTACTTGCTGAACTAGATCATGCACTCATTTCCTTGTTCTGTTTTTCTTGACAGGTGACACACTAATTGTTGAAGAAGACACGACCAAGGCAAAAACCGAGTCAGCTATAGTTACAAAACGGACTGCTCCAAATTCATTCAGGGAAGCTCTCCCTGTGCTTGCCCGGAAGGTTGTTCCAGCAGATAATTCATGTCTCTTTACCAGCATATACTATGTGGTAGAAGGTGGGGTGTATGATCCAGGATGTGCCCCAGAGATGAGAAATCTTATAGCCCAGATCGTAGCAAGTGATCCGGAATCCTATAGTGAGCCAGTACTAGGGAAAACTAATCAGGAATACTGTGACTGGATCAGAAGAGAAGATACATGGGGAGGTGCAATTGAGGTTTCCATCTTGTCTAAATTCTATCAATGTGAAATTTGTGTAGTGGACACTCAGACAGTCAGAATTGATCGTTTTGGGGAAGATGCTGGCTATGCTAAACGGGTGCTTTTAATTTATGATGGTATTCACTATGATCCACTTGAGCGTAAAATTCCCAATTCAGACATTCCTCCCCAAACAATCTTTTCAACATCCGATGACGTTGTCCTGGCACAGGCCTTGGAGTTAGCAGATGAAGCCAGAAGAAAGAGACAGTTTACTGATGTAAACCGATTTACCCTGAGATGTATGGTATGTCAGAAAGGATTAACAGGGCAAGTGGAAGCCAGAGAACATGCCAAGGAAACAGGACACACCAATTTTGGAGAAGTGTGAATTTTCTGTGAGGTTGGTCATTCCCCACTACCTCACTGATCCAGAGAAAACCTCCAAGTGCTTAAATAAGCTGTATGTAATCATAAGAAATCCATTCAGGATTTGAAACCCTCAACTTAAGTGTGAGTGATATGCACAGGTTTGCTGTGGTTAGTCTCAGAAGTCTACAAGTTTGTATGCAGTGGTATATTTTCCAACTAGTTTGGAATGTAATTTTGCATGTCTTAAGTATGAGGACATCTATTGGCTGCATTGACAGTTACAAGAAACTAATGCAGGAATTCTTCTGAAACACTACTGTAGCTAGATAAATTTGCATATACGATTTTAGGTGGAATAAAAACTGCAGCTCATTTAATGAGTTAAGTTGGCCTCTATTGAAATTTGGCAAGATTACTTATCTCAGTCTTGTTTATTAAAAATATATGTATACTTGTATAACTAAATGCAGATCAGCCACACGGTTGCCTCTTTAATATAGTTTTCCCAAAGCACATCACTGAATAACAGTACCATGTGTGTAAAAAGTAAGGAAGTTATGAAAGCCCTTAGCTTGAAGTTCTTGTCCAAAGCTTTCTTAGAAAGGGAATAGCTACCAATAATAACACGCATATTCTTTATATTAGTCCACTTAATTACATTTTAAACAGCTGTCAATTGTTTGGATGCTTATATGCATTTATGATGCATCCTTCAAAATTATTGAAGTGGTATCAGATCCAAGTAGTATAAAGGGTTTTTAAATTATTCTTTTTAAGTAGCCCACATGTATATTGAAGGTACAAAATTTGGAGGTTTGTGTTTTGGTTTCCAAATTACCATTTGCACTTAATATGAAAACTGACTGAGCCTAGTTCAATTCCATGAATGCACACCAGCATTTAAGAATCGTAGTGTCACTGATAACTGATGGTTTTCTCCCATCAAAATGGGTGTTTTTCCAACAAAATAATCCTCAAGCTTACACTGTTTTGTGGTCAGGGGTGTGGAGCCTGATTTTACAGGTTTTTTTTTTATGCCAATTGATATTGGTGCTTTTTGGTATTAGTAGACGTTCTTGACTTAGATCCTGCATAACATTTAGCTGACTTTGGCCATTGGAGATCTTGCAGTATGCGTAATCCCCACTTCACAAAGTTAGACTAGCATAACCTTCAGTCGCTGAAACCTGTAATTGGGTAACTTCTCACTGGTATATATTTCTACACAAATTCTTTTGAAATTGTGTTTTGAACTACTTTGGTATTTGCATTATACCAGGTGTTGGGTTATGGCAGCCTTAATAACCACTTGAATCCTCTCACTTAAATTAAGTAGTTTTGTTTATATGCAGTTTTCTTTTTGTATGGAAAAGTTGTTCTAAATTTGGGGGCACTGGTCAAATTTATACTTGTGGCTAATTTAAATTAAAATAAGTTAGAACTAATTTTAAAAATGCAGGTATACAGAATTTGAGAGGAAGTGCTTCTATTAAGTGTTTTAAAATGACTTCTATGAGTGTTCATTAATTAGAAATAATGCCACATATTATGATTAAAGAATTAGGCAGTGACATTAAGATAGGAGTGTCTGTGGCACCATTGATGTCATAAAACATTAGGAAGTGGATTCCATTGACTTTTCCAATGGCACAGTTCAGTTGGGATACTAGTTGGTGCTAAAAATCCCATTTTCCTTTCAGGGAAGTTTGTAAAAATAAATAAATGACAAAATCAGTGTAAATAACAGAGACTTCCAAGCAAAGTCAGTTTGTTGAGCCAGCACGGGTTGATATTATGTAAAGGGTCCTCATTGTGACCACTTCTAGATTAGAATATAGCAATTCATTGGAATAAACAATAACTTTGAACCAGAGTACTTCATATTTGATAGTAGGGTGTTAGAATGAGATTGGCATTCTCATGTACTGACCTGCTGCGGTTAAGATACTGCAGTAGCTATATTTGTGCATTCTGTGTGTGTTCTTGGAATGTACAGGTCTTCAGAGTCTGGATGCTAGACTTCTTTAAAGACTTATAACATCGTCTCAACTACATTTTAAGGTATTATTTGTTCCTTGCTTATTATTTTTACACCACTTTGTTCCATTTCTGATTAGTTTCAGATGGGGTGTGGTGAAATGAAATACTTTAAAGCTCTTTGTCAGAAAGAACTGCAAGTAACCATAGCCCCTCAGATGCTCATTCAAATAGATCAACTGTGGTCCAGCTACAGTTAATTGTAATTCCTGTTTATAACAGTGGGAATAGCTAATCACAATTATATTGAGTCCCATTGATTTCAGTAGGATGCAAAGTGCTCTCCAGTGCATGTCTACTGAGAAGTAAGGGTTATTTTGTTCAATGAAATTTAGGCACAGGAAACTGCTTAGAATTGCAGTCTAAATTACAGTGAATTCTTAAGTGAATGTATCATTTTGACTACTCCTTTGATATTTTTCCAAAAGCCTTAATTTGGAGTGGGAATTGTGTGGCCCTCCAGATGCTG